AACGATAGTGGCTTTCTGAATTGTATTTTGGAACGTTCACGTGATGCATTGAACTAGAGCTGCAAACTGCTTCTAGCGCTAACGAGTATTGTTGTGGACTTACGGACTGATGAAAAATTCCGTAAGTGGACTTACATGTCATTTTGTAAAATCACACACCTCTATGGCTGAACATGCAGGAAGGATGTGACATAATCCTTACAATTGGTAAGAGAATTGGCAATAGCAGTATCAGACTACTATCCTCACACTTTAGGATTATGGTAAGGTTAAAAATCCACACACTCAAGAGTTTATTAATTTATTAATTACTTCAATGGTATAACTTCTATTGTGTTCACCATAATAAGGTAACAAAGGTCGAATTTAATGCCATTGGTGTGTGGAATGTAGTTGCAGGTACCGTAAATCTATAAAAATACATAAAATTGAAGTGTCTATTTGTAATGTCACAATAACAGCTTTTTACTAAATGCATATGAAGTACCTACGATACTTATGACTAAAACACAATTTTTAAAATTTTTGACTGTCTGTCTGTTTGTTTCTGCTAATCTCCGAAACGGCTGGACCGATTTCGACGGGACTTTCACTGACAGGTAGCTAATGTTATAAGAAGTAACTTAGGCTACTTACATTTTAGAAAAATAATTAGGATTCCGCGCAACATAAATAAAACCCTGAATCACACGAGGGCGAAGTCGCGGGGAACAGCTAGTTGTAAATATAAACTTTATTAGCATAAATTACATTTTTTTACAATAAGATTTTTTACAATAATTTCAAAATAAACTAATCACCAATAATACGTTGCTTACTTCGGTTTGACAGGCTGTTATGGATGAATGAACGAAAATTAAAAAAAAAATAGAACTAAATTACTACGTCGTGTAGGAAGAGCGTAAAGCTAGGTACTAATTATTTAAAGAATACAATTTAATAATAGTGTTAATAATAGTGGTATTTTTGAATTTCATTTTTAAAATACGAGTAGGTACCTATTCCCGTTTGTAACTGTAAGTAGCTAGTTGTGTAAGTAATAGGTCACGACAGAATTAGTATGGCAGATTATATATCTTGAATTATTTATTAATCTCTATATTCTCGAACCCATGAATTTGTATACAATTCGTAACTTTAACCGTTAGTCTGGCGTCACTGGCGTCACTACTGTTGTTAGTTGTAAGTCCTATTTTATTAACCCGAACAGAAGAAGGCAACGTTTTTGTAAAAACATTTGTAGGTTCAGGACATTTCATTTTTTATTTTGAATCAAGTTGCATGAGAATCCATCATCCTATATCGACCTGCTGCCGTGGCTGGCGGTATAATCGTGCCGTTTACGCCTGACGTTAAATACCTAGACGAGGGAGAGGCCGATGTTCAGGTGTGGATTTTTATGGGCTGATAACGAAGAAAAAAGAAAGATGATATGTATCTTTGACACTACATCCTCGGCTACATCCGCCTTGTCGCTCAAGCCTTAACATTGGGTTCAGGTAGGTTGAGAGGAGCCTCTTTTTTAACCAATTTTCTGACGCAAGCAAGATAGTTTTAAGCAAGCATTTTGATTCTTAATATCTGAGGTATAGCATCCAAGTACAATCAGGTGAACTGCGTGCTAGTTTGAAAGTTTTGTTACGTGATTAAAAGTATACATTTTGTGTCATCGTAATTTTTTTTATAAAATAAGGGGAAAAAACAGGCACACAATCCACCTGATGGTAAGTGGTTGCTGTGGCCCATAGACATCTAAATCTATCTTCGATTACGAATTAAAATACAGATGCGTTGTCAGCCGTGAGGACTAAGATACAATGCCACTTTTTCAGTACCATGGGTCTCCGGTTCTCTACACTCACAAACACAGCAGCATTAAGTTGCTATTTTACGCTGGTATTCTGTGAGAGCGTGGTCCTTCCCTGGTCGAGCCGAACCATTCGTTCTACAACTATACTATTAATATAGCTGCAGCATGGCTCTACCAACTATAAAATGCTGTCTTGACGGCGCGACGATATCCAAGAAAGCCACTACAGGTATCTTTGACGATGGCGTGACCTAAAAGAGAACGTCGTGGCGCCGTGGATATTGGTGAACAAGTTGTTGGTATTCAGGTCTCTTGTTTTATTAATCGTGTCCTAAGATAGAACGATGGCCATCTCTTTGATAAAACTCCATTGTTTATTTTAGAGAGGCAAATACCACATTATTTTAAATAAATTTTTGTTATTGCCTAAACGAGCTTATATTCCACCTGATGGTAAGTAGCTACTGCAGCGTATCGATACCTACAACTACAAATATCGAACTTCGATAAAATGCTTTAGAGCCATGCTGCAGCTATATTAGTAGTATAGTTGTAAGTAGCACGAATGGGTTGGCTCGACCCGGGAAGGACCACGCTCTCACAGAATACCAGCGTAAAATAGCAACTTAACACTGCTGGTTTCGTATGGTGAGTGTAGAGAACCGGAGACCCTTTTTACTGGAAAAGGGGCACTCCATCTTAGTCCTCACGGGTGATAACGCATCTGCATTTTGATTCTTTATTGAGGATAGATGTGGATGTCTATGGGTCACAACAACCACTTACCATCAGGTGGACTGTGTGCTCGTTTGTCACCCTATCCTATTAAAAAGGCTACAGAAGTCTTGTAAGCTTTGAGAAGTAAGATGGAATACCTCATAGCCAGTCATTACACTTACCTAGTTCTCTGTACTTATATACAACGTAGCAGTGCACCTACACAGACTTCTAAGCAGGTTTATTTTTAAATATGTAATTTTTTATTACGTTTAAATATTGATACAACAACACTAATTTTTTTACGGATTTTGTCTGGTTCCAGTTAACGGCTCATGGCTATGACCTCAGGTGCTACAACTTTAAACGTCATGAATTTAAATTACGTTGAAATCAAACGCCATAAAGTACGTTAAAAAACTTTTATTCCGTGTGCTGTTTTCGCATAAATATTTAAGAAATCATTATATTCTTTGATCTATAACCCGGCCGGTTCGTTATCATATACGCTTACGCGGTAATAGGCGCCAATTTGAAGTCATAACGTGTCTTTTAAAATTAACAATAGTGTAGTAAAAATACTGCGACAAAGTGTGAAGCGATCAGCGATGCAGTGAACATAAATCGCTGAGGACGTGTCAAGTACAACAGCCACGTGTCAACTAAAATGCATATGTCGGTGCTAAGGTACGCATAGCTATGTACATTTCCCGATAAACATAACTCGATACAAAACAACACACATACATGTACAGCCTCGAAACGAAGGTACGTATCTATAGTAAGATAGCGACTGTCCATTCATTCATAAGAAGCAGTTCATTCATGCGGGCGAGAGGACAGTGAATGGGAGGGAAAGAGACAGAGCATATGTTAGGTCGCGTTACAATAGAGTTCCTGCATTCTCATGAATGAGTGGTTGAAATCCTATTCTACGAAAAGTTGAATAACATTGTTTTGTTTTAAGCATTTGAATGTAAGGAGTTGCGGGTATCTTGTTAACCAAGTAGGCTTATTGATTCTTATTAATGGGTTGATCATAAACGTAATGGCACGCAATTTTTGAAGTGGTTATTTTTACTTGGACTCCACATAATATTATATTTAAAATCATACGTAAAGTTTATAAATACAGGAGAACCAAAATTAATTATTATATTATATTTAACTAATTCGTTAAATTAAGTAAAAAGTAAAGTAAATTTATAGCCTATATACATCCTACATACGTCCCACTGCTGTTCACAGGTCTCTTCCCATTTTTATTGTACTAATTTGGTAGACATAGACACGTAGACATAGATACGTGGTAGAGCCATGCTGCAGCTAAACTAATAGTATAGTTGTAGCACGAATGGGTCAGCTCTACCGGGGAAGGACCACGCTCTCACAGAATACCAGCGTAAAATAGCAGCTTAATACTGCTGTGTTTCGTATGGTGAGTGTAGAAAACCGGGGACCCTTTTAACTGGAAAAGGGGCATTCTATCTTAGTCCTCACGGCTGACATTGCATCTGCATTTTAATTCGCAAACGAAGATGGTTGTAGATGTCTATGGGCCTCAGCAACCACTTACAATCAGGTGGACTCTGTGCTCGTTTGTCACCCTTATTCTATAAAAAAGAGACAGTAAAGAAAGTACGTATCTCTTTACTACACCATAAATACATTTTATATTTTCTTTATAACTAAATTATTTAAAAAAAAAAACGAGTGTGTACGCAGCCTTATACCGGAGCAACAAGATTGTGTAAAAAACACCATCGGTAGGAAGTCAACCCGAGCGCGACCAAACAATCTTAATCTTTCTAATATTGAAAACGGAATATATTATGTAGACAATTTTTTTGATATTTTGAAAAAAAAAATATATGGAAAGTTGTAATGTACAAGATACACAAAAGTTAAGAAACAAATATCACTTTTTTATTTATTAGCTTCTAAATAGCTGGATATATACCCTTTTACTACAATCCTTACTATATAATATCATATTAGTCGGGATTGGCCGCATTTGATTCATAAATACACACTAAAACTACTGTTTCGTTTAAAATCAAAACATTAGTATTTTTTTTGTGACTTAAAAATCTAAATTCAAATTAAATGCTTATAATTTACCAAAATAAATTGAATAACGTAATATAACGAATCAGTTTTAACCGAAGTTTCAAAGAAGGCGTAACGCAAAATAATTTATACATAAAATTACATGGAAATTGAATTGGTATGGAAAATTCCTGGTATCAAGATGTTTGAGTCGCAGTCAGAGGTGGTTATAGCAAGCGCGTAGGCAAGTCGTACCTGCCTCGGCGCGCCCGTTGCCAGTCCGAGCTTGCCCGACTCGACGACACGTCTCCTCGCACGGGACACTCACACGAGCGACATTCCGATTACTGAACCCGAGCAAAATTCGGAGCATCACAAGTGTGTGTAGAGCAAGGGCAGTGCAAGTAACAGTGCAATTAGAGACATGCAAGTGTTAGCAACGTTATTCCTGGCGTCCGTGCTTGGTGGTGTTCGGGGAGTGATTCGGACACCGTTGGAGGCGTTTAGGCCCTCGGGAGAAATACATTTGAGGAGGCCGGACAAGCTGCCGCTTCTGCCACATAAAAGAACAACGATCCAGGCGAAGAGTGGTCTCAAGATATTGTATCAGATTGGAGTAAGTTGCCTTCAGCTAATCAATAATTTACGTTACGTTTTTTTGCTCTAAGATAATTTTGTAATCGTGTAATTATTTATAATATGTTTTATGTAACTTGAATTATACTTTGTTAAATGATCGACTGAATAGAATTTTGTCTTATTCACATACAAATTGTCTTTACCTTGCTTCGACCTGTGTAACATTACCTGCGCGTAGAAGTGCATTAAACGAATAGTAAAGGTACTTAATACATGTACATCTGAAATAATGCTAAAAATTAACAAACGCTAGTGTCAACAACAGTGACATTAGACGTTTTTGATATTTAATAATTAATTTGTAAGAGTATATTAAGTATGATTAGAGAACGTAAGGGATCATGTTTAATGACGACGTAATATATAGTAACCGTGATTGAGAACTCAGTATTATCAGTTAGCTGGTGCCAGTATCATCTTTTGCTTGGTGAAATTGCAATGTTAACAGTTTTTTTTTTAAATCGAAGGACGGTAAGAAACGAACTGTTATTCAAACCAGCTTTTCTTCATAATTAAAAGTATTTAAAACTTGTTACATATCTGTGTCACACGTTTGTACAAGACCCATGGAATACAAAGTTTCGAAGGGTGGTAGAATTATATCTATCTATCTTATATATATATAAAAATCAATTGCTATCCGTTAGTCTCGCTAAAACTCAAAAACAGCTCGACCGCTTTTGATGAATTATTTTAGTTTTAGTAGATTTAGATTCAAATTTGGACCCGGTAGATGGCGCTGCTATCGAGATCCAGAAATCACCCGTGCGAAGTCTATATTTTATATAAAAAAAATAGAAAATATCATTGCGCGTTATAAAATATCAATAACAATGCTAATTAAAGTACAAAAAATAAGCAAAATATGTATCTAAATTACTAGGAACCATATTTTGCTTCAATAAAATTACCATTGCTAAGTAATTGAAGATAAAGCTGTTAACACAAAATTTGATGTAAATTATTTCGTATATTATAAGAGAGAGAGAGAGGAAATAATAAATTAAATATAACAAGACATCGAATATATGAACTGTATGTATTCTGTAGCAGGTCTACCTAATTCCAGAATTATAGAAGCGTGAAGTTAAACGGTTAAGCACAAAAACCAAAATTGCACTTCACAAGAAATAATTTATTGCTTATGATATTTCATTTATTTCCTAAAGAATAACATTTAAATAGGTAATAAAACGTATATAAATATGTTTCTTATGTAAAATTATTAACGTACCCTTTAATCGAAGAAATAGCAGCTTAAAGCTACAGTGCTTCCTATGACAAGTTTAGAGAACTTTATAATCTTTTTACTGGAAACGAGGCATTCCATCTTAGTTCTTACGGGTGACAATGCATCTGTATTTTGATTATTACTTGAGGATAGACGTAGATGTCCATGGGCCACAGCATCCGTTTACTACTGGTAGACTGTGTGCTCGTTTGTCACTCTTATTTTAAAATAAAAAAATCCTAAGTATTATAAGAGAGGCCCATTTCAAGCAGAGGACTTCTACATGCCGATGAATGAAACAATCTTGCGCTAGTTCCATTATAACCTATAAAAGTCCAATGCTGAACATAGGCCTCCCTCAATAAATACATGATGGTAAGATAGTGAAGAAATACTCACTACACTCTGTCAAATCGAGTGTATTTTAAATTTTCGCCCGCTTTATGTATTAAATAGTGATCTTTCGGATCCCACAGCACTCACGCCCGCACACTTCCTACATTTAAAACTGCTTGAATGCTTACCAGCCGAAGATTTAAGTAAGGAACGTATTAATCTGTTATCACGCTTTTCTTTAATAGAGTCTTTAGTTTAGTCCTTTTGAAAACGCTTTATATTTTGTGATATTGCCATAGTTGCCATGCTTGTCCAGCGGGTTGGCAGCCGCAGTTTTTAATTATTTTGAATTATTATCAGGAAGATGCTGCTGTCCACCTCCTGTTTCATTTTCCCTCTGTCACCTCTTACGACACCCTCGGAACGATATCGGATAGTGGATATTCTTACACCGCAACTACATAGTAGGTAAACACTAGTTGTGCTAGCTATGCCGTTCTATTTTAACAGCTAAGAAATTTAAGTTTTAAGGCATTTTGGATTAAGATTTCACCATAATTCGGTCGTCAGAGTCTCCCCCGTCAATCAGCAGGAAGCACTGTATCAGCTGAGGTTAGCATTTAAATAATATGGTAAATAAGAAAACTTAAAAACCCCCGAAACAAATAGAGTTGATGATTTTCAACGGCTGAACAGATTTTCTTGAAACGCAACTAAGAACATTCTGGATTAAGACACCATACAAAAAAAAAATTCATCCGTTCAGGAGCTGTGATGCCACAGACAAACACAGATACACTACAAACATAACATTCTGTTTTCGCTGGGGGTTAAAAATTATCCTCTGTTATACCCCTAACTTGGTTATTTAGTTTATCAATGATATTTCTTTTTCGATCTGTACGCTGATGCTAACTGCTGAAAATATATTAAAGACACACCTTAATTTACCGTTTGGACTTCTTACTATCGTGGCATTACACTAAACAACCTTATTACCTTATAAGTGTATTATAATATTTATTTCTCGTTGGTACTTTTTTCATTCATTTATTATAGCTTATTAAAGTCCATTGCTAAACATAGGTCACTCTCATAGATTGTCTCATAAGGATTTTGCCATAGTTGCCACACTTGTCAGTTGCAGCTTTTTTACTATTTTCAGTTGTTATCAGGGATATGCTGCTGCTCATCTCCTGGATAAGTTTCCCTCTGTCATTTGTTACGAGACCCACGGGATGGTATGGGAGTAGTAGATATTTTTTACGTCTCCACTACACACCAAGCTTTTTACTTTTACTTTGGAGCTTCTTGTTCATTTATTATTGGCTATGAAATAGAATGGTTTTCATGTCTACGTACAATTTATAGCCGTCAAAATAAAAAGGTAGGGTTGTGACGTTTTTGTTGTAGCTTAAAATCAACGTTAATCATATTATTATACGTAATTTTTAAGTCGATTTCCGAAGATAATCGCTTTAGTCTAGGTCCATAATTACGTACAAACGAAAATAGTTCTAAGAAAGTATCTTAGTGCGTTGTAAAATAAACTTTGCACTGTAAGACGAGAAGCTAAATTCGTGTATTCTGGTAGAAATTATTATAAGCATTATTATAAAAACGAAGTGGTGAGTGGCTGCGTAGGCGCATGCGTAACACCGGTAGCGGCAGGTGTTCATTCACTCATTCTTATCTTGACAGCTTCGATGACTTACGGTCCAACCTCGGTCCCGGCCCGCGTGTATTTGGTTTGAAAACAAAAAAAAACTTTTTATGTTACTGTTTTTAAGCTCATTCGTAACGGTATTCGTTTTTCGGTCGTACGTCTTTTAAGGAATGTAATTTTATAAGTTGTCTCTTCGACGTTTTTGTTCATACATATTTCTTTTTAAGAGCGGGTTTAAATCTTGACAGATACGCATGTCTTTCATGCTAATTCGTTAGACTGTGTTAAGAAGGCATGAAAGCCGGGTGTTCTCTTAAAACTGTATTTTAAAAATATGAAATGGACAAGTAAGCACAGAATTACATATAAGTTACATAAAAAAAAACCGGTTATAAAATTATAGTGTTGTATGTTTAATAATATATTTACTATTTATTATATCCTTTAGTGTGTTTTCTGAACTTCATATTAAAGTATCTAATTTTAAGTTTTAGTGGAACGAAATAAAAACTTCATATACATAATGATATGTTCGAATATGTATGCTCTCTAGTCAACATTTTAAGATGCGGAATGAGGAACGAATCGATAGATCTTTCAAAAACATCAAAATCAAATACATTTGACATTAATATTTTTAGTAGACGCTATTCACTTGCGGAATCTTCAATTACTATATTTTTGGCGTTAGTTGCTACTAAAGGAAACTTTTTTTTTGATAAAATTAAAAAGTTCACAGACACGGAGACGAATCTAATGACGTCTCGTACTTACAGTCGCCAATCCGCTTTGGCTACAGACGGTTAGATACGAGCAGACAGAAGTATGTACCTATACCTACACATACGAAGCATATAACCCTTCTTTCGGGGTAGTTACCTAAAACATCCTGTTAACAGTGATGGAATAATGGTTTAAGATATGGAATGTCAGCTTTAATCCGTTGTAGGTTTGAATCTGACATGAACCTAACCTATACTATTCCGAAGTACATTTTGCGTTTTTAATATACCTACTTATGATTCTATAATAATACAGATAATATTAATGTTTTGATAAATATGTTTTTATATGATAAAATAATATACCTAAAAGAAAAATTTTTTTTTAAGAAGTCCACCTCTTGTATTTTTGGTAATTTATCATTGTTATTATTTAAAATACAATAAAAACGCTAAAATTATGCATATTTTGATTTTATATCACTAAATACGGTAAATGTGACAAAATCTACTAAAATTACAAGGGAATGGAGTTACAAATAAAACGATCCTTAGCCTAAGATGTTTCTTTTTTAATACGTCTTTGTCCTTAGCAGGAAAATCTTCCAACTTTTTATTCTTAGTTCAATCTTACGTCATACAGACGATAGTACGTAAAAATATTATTTTACATAGATACAGTATAATAGATAAGTAAGTCTTTATGTCTTTAACAATAAGACACATTAAACCGAAAGAAATTTTTACACCAGTGATTTAAGTGACTTTCAGGGACAAATATCGGGTGGCTCAATAGAATAATGGAGGTCCAATTTGGCTACAACAATTTATCGATTTAGGACTTTATTACGATAACTAAATGGTTACTTTTCATTGACATATCTGAAGGTTAAGTCGCGTGAGGAGAGCAAGTATTAATAAAAATAAAAACGACATTCTGCCATTAACGCTGTGTACAGCCATATAAATGTCCCACAGCTGGGACTAACCGTCAAACTTTAATCCTTCACAAATATTTTTTT